GATCTTCCAACCAATTGTGCAAGCTCCATAGCTTGCCTAAGTTCCTTGGCTCCAGCACTCTGATAGGCTGTTCGTATCTCGGTTTGAGCCCTTCATGAAATTCCCTCAGGGCCGATTCTGAGATGTGATCCAAACGGCTAGCCAAGTACTCGAATCTGTCCGATAGTTAGCCACAGCCCCCTCCTGAGTCAGAGCAAAGAACTGCTCATAGAAGTCTCTCCCCATTGACTCGGAAACGCTCTACTAATAACAATCCTTGAAACTCTCTCCAGTTTCTGATAGGCTCTCTCCTGTCTCGCACTTGATACCATGCAACAGCTTCCCTTCCAGACACAATCCTGCCGCCGTCATGCTTCTCATCATCTGTCAACCCGTTGACTGCAAAGTAACGCTCCACCTTGTATATCCAGCCATGGCATCTTCACCCTCAAAGATGGGCATCTTCAACTTCCTCACCTTCGGATCCCTTCCGTTACCCGGTACTCTCCATAACCTCTCATTCCTCGAAGAGGAAGTGCTCCCAGTTGCCCAATCATCTCTCCGGCATGGTATCCAAATCCGTCATCATATTCCCCTGCCCCTTTAAAATTCAGCACCTCGACGCTGAAACTCCTCTCTTCTTCGCAAAATCTGCACTTTCGTCATATTCCCTCTCCTACCTTCAAATTCAGCACCTCTTCGATCAATTTCCCAATGCTCATCCTCTCTCTAGAATGTGGCTCTAGAGGTGGCATGTCATCCTCTCCCTCAAGGATTCAACTTCCGGATTCTCCTCCCCCGAAGCGGGTTCGGATTCCCTCCTATGCCATGGTCACCGATAGTCTCTCTTGCTTCCGACGCCGTCGGATTAGTCTTCATCTCAAGTAATTTCTTCATCATCTCTTCCATGGCCGTGAACTTCTCATCCACCTTTATTATTGGCGGTGATTTCAAGAATTTTTCCTCCAAATTGATTTTAATTGCAAATTCGCCTTCTAGGACTTCGATCTTCTTTCCGGCTATTTTTCTTTCTACGAGTCACAAGAAATCTTTCTCCGAATGCCAAAAAACCCGCTGAAAGTTCAGGATTTCAGTCGCTGATGGTCCCAAAACGATGCTCTGATACCAATTTGATAGGAAATACTTGAGTTCGCAAGTAATCCTAACCCAAATCGGTGAAACATCAACAGCAAAACTGCTGTCCACAGCAGAAAACAGTAGGAAACCGGAGAAAATTGGGAGAAACGCAATAGAAACTCGTAGGAAAAACGAAGCAAACACTTTTATTTTATAGAGGATTAAAAGCACTTGCAAGATACAACTTTCCTTCAATTCGAGAGGAAGGAAGAACTCTCCAACGATCTCCGGCAAAGCCAAGAGCCCAAGAACACCAAACCCTAGATCTCAAGATAATTCAAATTCAAGATGAGAGCTAATTCTCACCATAACTCCTAATTAAAGACAAAGGACAATTATAAACTTCCTAAAACAGCCCCCAACATTCAAAATTTCCCTCCTAAGCTCTCCCAAAGCCGCGTGGCTTTCCACTGGTTTCCGCTCAAACCCGTGCTCCCCCTCTGTTTTTCCGCCTGGAGTAACAGTGGACCGGTCCGGGCTGGACCGGTCCAGCCGGCCCCTCCTGGGCCGGCCTAACAGTTTTCTAAAATCAAATCTATGCATTGTGCTACATAAAGTGTCCAATACAGATGTTTTCTTTTCCCTATCAATTTATTCCCAGTTATCTTAGAAACACTATCATTATTTATAACAATTTGTATCACAAAGTGCTCTCCAATTTTGTTTATGATTCCATCAAAAAGTCCAAAAATGTATTTCACATCCTTGACCTGATCAAATTCTTTAAAAAAATTCAAGAGAATAGTGTCATATGGATTGATAATCAAAATATTATCAAATTTCTATTCTTTATATCAGATCAGCCATCACACAGGATTGTTAATCTAGTTTGACTCTTAATCATAATTTCTTTAATGACTTTTTCACTATTTTTCAGCTCTTCATTCAATACCCAGGTTCTCAAATTATACATAAATGAGAGTTTCAGGCCTCAACGATAAGCTCCTATCGAACATATCTTTTTGAAATAAGGAGAGATAGTCATATTAAATGTAATGCCATTCTCATTAAAGAATCTTCTAATATACATACAAACATGTTTGTGTGCATCCCTAGAATTATAAGGAGGCATTTTTTAAGTTACATTCTTGCCACCGTCCTTTGTCATTCTCCATGCATACCACACATTGATTCATGGGTCCTCTTGTACCTATACTTAACATTGGTGGCGAAGATGAAGAGGGCTTTTTGCAATTATGCTAATTTTTATAATAAGATCTAACATCTATTCTATCATCAAATTATTGTTGTGCCCAATGGCTTGACATTGTCGTCTTGTTCATATATGCTTGGATATCCTCTTTCACCTACCTTGGTACCTTGAAACACGGTGGAACATTTTTGTGCAAGCCATAAAGGCGCTCCTTTATTCTTAACCCCCCATTTAATAACCTTTTCATAATAGTTGCTATTTATATAAACTTATATTTGTAATTCTATCCAATGTCAAATTGCACATTATGTCTCCATTCCGGGTCTTTTTTATATCTCGTTTCGCTTTTATCCTTCCCTCTTCACTATTTTAGAAAAACTTTAACAAAATTTTAAATAAAAAATGTGATGGAACTTGAGATGTGCAAAATTCAGAATCCAAGAAAACAGCCCAAAAACAATGGAAAAATGGAAGATTTCTTGGATAGAAACACTCACAAACACTTGGATTACTTAAATAACAAAAGACTTACAAGTTTCCACGGATACAATGCTCTCAATTCGAGAAGAGAAGCTTTCTCCCAAGCCCTAGATTAGAAGAAAGCTAAAACAGCCACCAAAACAAGATGCCTCCAAAATAAACCCTAACTCCCCTTAAACCCTCACATGATCCCCCCAAATTACCCTAATTACCCCTAGGGCAAACAAATTTCCCTCCCTTATTCATTTGGTGGGCCCCTTGGGCCCACCCGCCCCCCTTCCTTTCCTTCGGCCGACCGCCCAGGCAGGCGGGTTCTCCGCCTGCAGTAAACAAGAACCGGCCCTTTTTGGGCCGGTGTTGAAGATGGATGGACCGTCCTGTCCGGTCCATCAAAATGTTTGAAAAAACAAATAAGAAAAAATGAAAATCTTAAATAAACAACTAAAAAATTTAGATTTATGAAACACAATTTTTTTCTAAAGATACTGGGATGAAGAAATGTTGTGGAGAAGAAACATGACTTGTAACCCTTGTTCGAAAAGAAGGCCTGACAAGGAAGATAAAGGTGTTCGATGGCTAGGAAGGAGGTGACAAGCAACGGTGAGGAAGGGGCTGGTTGGCTGGTATGTGTGAGCTGAGAGAGGAGGAAGGTCAGGGACTTGCAGCTCTTGCTACCCATAAGTTAACTAATATTGGTAGAGATCCTTGAGCACACTGATTAAGGGTTCTAACCATTGGATTGATTATTTGATGGCCCTTAGATTGTAATCTATGTGTCTCCTCTTCTAGCCACTGACTCTCTTGGTAGGGTTGTAATCGGGCCAAGTCGAGTATATCATGGATCATACTAGGCTTGATCAAACTATAAGTTGTTAAAGTTCGCCATGAACTCTAGCTAAGCTTTCACATATATCTTTATGCATGATCTCTTTATGATTATCTATGATCCAGCTTGGCTTGTGCATGGCTTGCTTAAATTAATCAGACAAATACTTATAAATGAATTTTCATGTTATTATTATATTAACAAATAATATTATATATCTAAATGAGTAAGAAATTTAATAAATTTGAAATTAGTATATAAACTATTTGACATGAATTAAATATGATAATAATAGGATTGAAAAGAAGTATTATAGTCCTATGAAGGATAGCAGCGTCTAAATAGTATAACTGAAAAGAAGATACTAGGGCTGTGAACTGATGTGTTTGGGAATATGCATTGAGGGCTAAGACAATGTATCGACTACAGGTAATATGAGAATAAGATGTGTTCACCTGGATTCCCTTTTAGGTACACTCTAATTCTTAATATGTGTGTTGGAAACGTTGAGTTGAGTGCTGAGATGGAGTGCTTATAAATTATGCTCATAAATGCGTCAAACGTAGTCAGGCTAAGGCAAAGATGTGTTCGCCTCTAAAGGCTCTAATTCTCAGTGCAATCCTAACATTGCTCTCATATAAAAACAACACTCGCGGCCTAAGCAGCCTGACTGTGGATATTGAAAATGATAAAAATGTTGAATGATATGTAAAAAAAGAGAAAAGAAGAGATGTTGAAAATAACTTAGCCTGGTAAATAATTATATTATATATTAATATTAAAAAATTTGAATTTAAAAATTTTGGGTCGAATTTTTTAAGAGCTACCATCAAGCATGGCATAAGCCTTTAGCAAGTTGCTTGTGAATAAAAAATAAGTTGTTTGCGAATGTAAAGAAATAAATTGAATTCTGTTTGTATTTGGTTCATTAAACTTTCGAGATTTTAAGTAATATTTAGAGTTTAATCACTAATTTGAATGAACTTGAATGGGTATTTATCAAGCCAAGTGCAAGTTGTTCATTAAGTGCATTGTGTCATTTATAGTCTTACCTCTTGAAGGATTTTTTTTTCTTTTTTTAAATAATTTTGATTTATTGTCACCGTAAATTTTTTGGAAAAATCTATATATACTTCCACAGTTTGGATATATTCAAACAATTAATTTCTACAAATTATTATATTGACCTTTAAGATTTGCAAACTATGTAATCCCTCCTATTGCACTTTTTATCCAACTTCTATTAGCTTAATATTTAAATGATTCAACTATCTCAAAATTCGTTCTTATCCTGATAATACTTTTATTTTTATGAAGTATCTTGAAAGGCAATATCCTAACGTTCTACAGAACCATATAGCAATTCAACTAAAGTTTCGGTTTAGATAACATGGATTTTGGCTTTCCTTGACACCCAAAATGCAGTCATGAAAACTGCATATCGTAGTGTTATGTTCTACATTGGACAAAAGGAACTAGAGATGCAGTACAAAATGAACAAAATGGTTGGTCAATGCCGACAGAAATGCGAGTCCATGCAAGAGAAGTTCACTGAAAAGCTGGAGCAAGTGCACGCTGCTTACCAAAAAATGGCAAAAAGATGTCAGATAATGGAGCAAGAAAATGCAAGTCTAACAAAAGATACGCAAGAACTCCAGGAAAAATATGCTGAGAAATCTAGGTTAGTATATATGATTCTCCCATATGTACTGTATACGGGTGATTATTTATAATGGAAACAAGCAGGCAGAAGAGAAAACTTGAGGATATGTATGATCAGTTGAGAGGCGAATATGAGTCTATGAAGCGTTCTGCAATCCAACCTGTAAGCAACTTCTTTCCAAGAACTCAGCCGGACTTATTCTCGAGTATGGCCAACATGATCGATAGCAGAGATCCTACTAGACAAGGTAATCAGCTATCACTACTACTAATAATTCTTTATGTTAAGTTTCTTGCCACATCATGCCATTAATGGAGGATAGATAACAGTTTTAAGCAGTTAAATAACTTTGCTTTTAAATTGTATAAGCTAGTGTTTCTATGAAAGCTATGATCTGCAAGAATGTTTTCATTAGCTCCCCAGAAATACCAGTTGATTAATCTGTTGCAGATCAACGATTAGTTCTTACTCCTAAATCTCCAGGGCAAAGAGAGGAAATTTGGCCTTCGGTGAGACAAAAGAATTCCAGCGGTGCTGCATTTGATCTTTCTGAGGGATCGCCAGTTAAGATGGTGCCGGTTCCTGTTGATGCTAGAGCGAGTAAGCCTGCACGGCCATTATTTGGCGCTGGTGTCAGCAATCCTGCTGCAACTTTGCGTAATCTCATTATCTCTCCCATGAAGAGGCCCCAATTATCACGGAACCGCTCCAATTTGTTCACGTAATGCATCTCTTCCTTATTTCTCTTTTTTCTGTAAGCTGGTGTAATGACATTGTACAATCCCTGGCATGCAAGTACCAAACCAGTGTTCCTAGCAAAGGATTGAATAGCTGAAACATAAAAACCTTAAACTTGAGCTTGAAACAACCATTGTCCAATTTATATGAAAATTTGGCTATTCTCTTCAAAATTTAATAATGTCTTTTTTCATATTGGAGATGTGATAATTAGCTCGCTGATTGTTCCAGTTGATTTTCAGGTTATAAGATGGAAGAAAACAACATGTTGCTGGTTCTAGAGTTAAAAACAGTAACAAAGTTCCTTCACTCACTTCTAATTTTTCTTCTCATTTTGTCATCTCTTTTCTTCCTTTCATAGTAGTTGAACATATTTCATGAGGTTTCAAGTAGATTCTGTACCTTATACTTCGATGAACTGTTTTGGAGAAATTTTTTCCATCTTCAAGATTACTTATTGTGGCGGGCAGTCTTTTTCTTTACACTGCGAAAAACAATTTTTAACAGGCAATGGTAGAAATTTTTTTTTTTGGGACATTTAGGCCAATTAAGGCAGACTTACACACATATCACATACACAAGACTCGAATCAAGATCTCTTAATTAGTAGCTTAAGCTCCCAACTAACAGGCCAAGATGAGCTGTGTATAATCTCAGAATTTACTTAGAAAATAATGATGCTTGAACGATTTTCGATCATATTATCAAGTCATGAAGCTGGCAACTGGTATATTATGAGAAGGAAGCTCCGTGACACTGTTGTTGAGCCCAATCTGCGTCTTTCTATTATAGGTGGAATTGAATAAGCCCACTTAGATAACTAAAAAAATCAATAAATGTGCGACAGAAAACAGAAAAAGAAAGAAAAAAGACAAGCATAGTAGATGAAATATAGTATGGGTTATATCAAATAGCATGATAGTATAGAAGCTCCCTAAAGCCCTAACTATTTTCCTATGCTGTTGAACCTGTTGCTTCTCCAGAAATAGTATCGGCAGGGTTAAGTTGGCTTTCGAGCACCACAAGAAGGAAATGCGAGGGCTGCCGCCGGATTGGATGGCTCCTGTGATCAAGAGTTCTTCGTGAGACTGAGTTGAGTGTAATAGAGGAGGAGCGACACGAAGCTTTGCTGTCATTCTTGTAGATTTGATGAGTGAAGAGTTTTTCCTTTCTTTTGGGTTCCAAATTTGCTGAGATCTCCACCTTCTTAGTATTTTTGAGAAGAGAAATTGGTTTATTTTGTAAACAATATCAGTGTAGTCTGTAACATTTGATAGTGAAATTTTCAGGTTTTTTTTGCCTCATTGATATAGATTATTCTTAACTGAATCATATACAATCAGTTTTGTTTTTACTACTTAGTTTGATTGATCTCTTTGTTGCTCACAAACTTAAATATTGGATTCTTGTTTTTGAATGTTATCATTTAACCCCTCACAAGAGTTATTTTACTTCTTATAGGTCTATTTTGATATTAAAGTAGTGCCTAATATTGGAGTTCTATATTTATGTGAGCATTTTATTTTTGATAAGAATCACACATTGAAGTTTCCTAATAGAGTGCATAGGACCGAGAATATTTTGAACTATATTCATTCTAATAACTTGACTTCTATTAGCCTTAGATTAAGGCTTTGTTTGGGACATCATTTTTGCTATTTTATAAAATTATTTTTAAGTACAAAAATTTCTAATTCAAGAAATATTTATACTAAAAAGTCGTTTTAGAAAGCAGCAAAAAAGTTGTCCTAAATGAGTTTAAATGAGCCGGCTCGAGCTTGACTCGTTTATGGGCTCGAGAGCCGAGCTTATCGAGCTCACGAGTCAAGTTCGAGCTTGAGCCGGCTCGAATAATTATTAATATTTTATAAATAATTTTATTTTATTAATTAAATTTAAATATTAAAAAAAAAAGAACTACATAAGTTTTATTTAAATTTTAAACATTGCATCTTTTTTTCTAAACCCCACCTAAGTTTTAAAAATCCCGCTTAAGTTTTAAAAATTCCGCCTAAATTTTAAAAAAATCCTGCTCATGGCTTGCGGGTATGCTCGAGCTCATTTATAGTGGGATGAGCTCGCTTTTCAAATTGATGAGCTGAGCTCGATAAGACCTAAACTCGACTTGTGTACACCCCTATTCCTCCAATAGCCAATAACACCTAGGAATGAAAAAATTATAAATAATTTCTTGTAAAAGAGGAGGATATTTTCATCATTTACCTTGCCTTTACTTTTATATGATTTTTGTACAATCCTAGCAATTATATAGCTAGATCGACTTGTGAATATATATCTCAATATTAAAAAAATATCTCAATATAAGAATATTATAAAAAAGAAAGATTAGACATTCCTAACAACATAACTTTTTTATGATTCCAAGGAAACCAAAGTACATATAATGTGCCCTACAATCATCAATAGCCAAACTTTAGTTAGGAAGAATATTATTACTTTCATGTGGTACAATCAAGATGAACTAGCCAAGTACCCCCTTGGACCAAGTAGGTTCTAAATAATTTAAACAAAATTATATAGCTTATGTCCAACTCCATCATGACCATCCAATTCCTTCATGATGTGCACTTTCCATTTAGATCAACCTCATTAAAGGCATAGATATTGGCACTTGCCATTCACATTTGCATTTCAAAGTTAGAAGCCTAACCTTGTTTGTCACTTTTTTCAGACCAAATAATAATACTTGGCATGTCAAGTAGCATAAATAGAAAAAAAAATCATTTTTTTTTTGCTTTTTTCTTTCTAAATTAGCTAGCTTGCAATACTGATAATAGTACCTAAACAATCAAGCTGACTAATTATTAAGAATGAAGAGGACTTTATGATATGTCTTATCACTTATAAATAATTTGTTAATATAACAATTAATTTAAGCCTATATATTCATAGCCCTGCATTGGGTACTCATATTCACATCCACCAATGTACCCACCCATACCCAATGGGTATGGGTGGGTATGGGTATGCCTGTGATCTTATGGGTGGGTACTCAACATCAGGAGATAAATCGATTTACATTGCTAATCATTATATATCTTATATTATTGCAATCCTCACTATGTAGTGTGCAGCTATCAAGCACGTTGCGACTACGGTAAATTCTAATATGCGGCTTGAAAGTTTACAATTAGAGTAAAAGGCAACAAGCCTCAAGGCCATCAGTCTGTGGCAGACTGCGTTCGAAATGCATGAAAAGTGGGTGGATATAGGTGGGTACATCATCCCGAATGTCACCATGGGTGGGCTAAGCCCGTTCGAGTAAAGCATGGGTATCCAACCAGGATCCCATGTAGGGCTTTGCTATATAATCATTTAAACAAATTAATGACACACTTTTAGTAGTGATAATAGCCTTATTTAATAATAATTATTTTATTAATTTTTTTAGCAAATATATTACCCAATGTTCTTAACATAACTACATTGACATGATTTTTTTTTAAAACTTTTAAGGTAACATTAACTTTAGTAGCTTGGTAACAAATTTCCATTCTAAGTAAAGAAAAAGTTCTATTTTCTGTATGGGCTATAGGCTTGGGACCTATAGAACCAAGCAGTGATTATTTTGCAATATTGATAGGTGACATAGCATAAGACTATTCACTATTTGGCCCTAAATTGTCATATTTAGAAGTTCTTCCTCTAGTGTGAGAGCTAGTAAGTCCAACAAGACACTAAATGGAATGCCTAAAGAGAGACTAGTTTTATGCACTTATTGGTCTATATTATAATTATGTCAGGTTGTCTTCAATATTGTAATATGAAGATCCTAAATTTTTGAAGAGGCCTCGGGTAGGGGTGTTTAAAAATGACTTGACTTGTGAACATGGACTGAGCCTAGCTTGAAAAATATGAGTTAGGATTGACCATTTAAGAAACGTACGTATTGATTTTGGCCAGAATTTTGACCCATTTATTAAATGGATCGGGTTCGGGTTGACTCGCAATTCTAATTTGATTAGAAAGTCATTCATTTTATTTTTTTCTCAACTTCTTTTGCTTGTTGGTATGATCTTCTTATTTTTTATCAATTTACGTTAACTATATAGTTAATAAATTATATATATTTTAATCAAAATTAGTTATTAGGTCATTCGTGTTGCTAGTAGGTTAGGCTAGGGTCGATTATTTTGACATGTTTATTCAATTAGTAGGGTTCAGGTTCAGTTTGAGTGAATTCGGGTTGGACTTGAACCCGGCCCGCTAACTTATTTTGACACCTTTAATCTTATGTTTTAGAGATAAAAATAATGATTTTTTTGTAAATTTATTAGCATTCTTTAGAAGTAGATTTGAATAACACCCTCATGCACGGATTCCTATTAAAATTTATCTATAGGAATTTTTATGGGAAAGTTAGTTTCAATGGTTATCTTGTCAAAAATATTGGTAAATGTTATGAAATATATCGAATGAGGGAGGCTAGCCTTACTAGCAAGAGGGATTAGTGAAAAACAATAACAATTAGGAAAGTTCTATAGGAATGTTCCATATTGAAGTTTTACACATTGTGAAATTGTAGTGCTCAATCATATTAATTGTGTTTTGAGTTATGCTAGCTTTGATGTTTTACTAGTATATATGCTATAAATTAAGAGAGAGAGAGAGCTTTGAATACAAACCTCTATTCATAATTGCCACTAGGGTTGAAGTGAGCTAAACCGACTCGAGCTTAGTTCAATAATTGGCACATGAGCCAAACTTGATGAGCAAATGAGCTAAGACAGAACCAGCCTCAACACGACTCGTTAGCTTACGAGCCAGGTCGTTTAAAAAATACTAATATAAAATATACTTAAAATATATTGAAATTTAAAAGTTCAAGTATAAAGCTATTAAAAATGTTTAAAATTTATGTCTCAATTTTTATAACAAATTTTTTATTTATATTCTAATTAATTATTTCTTTATTATTTTATTATAACAATTTTTTGAATCATAATAATTTTCTTTCTTTTGTTATAAACGTGCTGGCTTGAATTTGTATAGTTAAGCTTGAGCTCTAGCTCAAACTCGATTAATTAATCAAGTTCAAGCTCAAATTAGAGGTGACTCAAGTTGAATTTTAGTATTTTTAACTAACTCAAGCTTACAACAAACTACTTATGAACATATTAACGAATTCAAAAGGAATTGAACACAAACATGATAATCACGAATGATTTCAAACATGAGCTGAGCTTGAACAAACAAAATTTTGAATGAGCTGAACACGAATAAACATTGAACTCGCTCAAGCTAGGCTTAATTATAGCTCTAATATCAATAATGTAAGACATTTAGGCTTCGTTTGGGACGACTTTTTAACTGCTTCTTAAAGTAGCTTTTTAGTACAAAAATTTAAAATTTTGGTACTAAAAAACCGCTTTAAAAAGCAATAAAAAAGCCGTCTCAAATAAAACTTTACTCAAAAACAATATGGCCTTTATAGAAATCTCTATCATAAGCAGAGCATGAAGAAGGAGACTGGCCAGCCCGCTCTGCTAGTCTCAACCAACCATGCCAACAATTTCATTGACTAAATATATGGTCACTTAAGCCGAAACTAGTTCAAATTAAAATCAAATTAACTTATGCTTAATCAAAATAAATCCACAATTTCTTTCTTCTATAGGTTTTAGAAAAAACCTTGGGACATTTAGGTTTTGTTTAGTACAGCTTTCCTTATTAGTTTCTAAATTAGTTTTCTAGCACATAAATTTTTACTTCAATAAATTTTTATACTAAAAAACTGTTTTAAAAAATAATCCCAAATGAAGCATTATTTAATATATAACTTAAGATAAAAAAAATATTATTGGAGTAGGAGAGCCCAAAGCCCTGAAAATTTCTTTCAAATTGATCATGAGGGCAAGGAAGCCACCTTAAATTTTACTTTTATTGTCTTAATAATGACATAATAATATTAACTTAAGTTAATCATGAATTATTTAGGTGGTCATCCCATCTAAAACTCAGGCTCCATTTGGGATAGCTTTCTTATTGCTTTCTAAAATATTTTTTTTCTAGTATAAAATATTTTAGTTTAATAAAATTTTGATCCAAAAAATTGCTTTAAAAGCAATAAGAAAACTATCCCAAACAAAATTTTAATTACCTACAAATGTAGCCAAGGACAACCATAGCCCAGCCCTGAACTTTCAATCAACATATTTTGCATGAGCAAGAAGACAACAGGAAAAGAAGCTGTAAAGGAAGCCATTGGCATTGTTAACTCAGATCAGTTCCTTTTCTACATGCTTCCAGCACATGGAGAGTACTCTCTCTCTCTCTCTCTCTC